AAAGCTCCTTTCCCTAAGTTATCATGGCAAGCCTGGAGATGCTAGAAACAGGAAGCATTACAAACTCAGTAGGTAATTTATGTTTTTTCTGTTTTGAGCCTCCCAAGTTTTTAAGTCTCTTTTAAATAGTCCTTGTATAATAAACTGAACTTGTTAAGTGATTTGAAGATTCTGATTTATCATGGAACTGAGTTAATAAGGCTCTGAGTCCTTAAATGGATGGATGGAACTGTGGCTACAGAAATGGAGGGAAATGAAGAAAAATAAGGTAATAATGAAATCTGACCTCTCCTCCGAAAGGAGGACTTTCAGAAGTCCTAATTTAATCTTATATACCATGGCTATTCATCTAACCCGAAATAATCCAACTAACTCGGCTAAAGTCTCCCATTGGACTTAGGTCCACTCTAGCCTTCTCTTCCCTAGAGAAAGGGAGAATATGATTTTTTAAAAAAAGAAGCCACAATAATGACACCTCACGTGTTGAATGCTTTTTTGTGCCATGTCTGGCACTAATTGCTTTACATGAATGAACTATTACACAACAAACTATCTAGAGAGAAGGTGCTATTATCTCGATTTTGTAAATAAAATAGCTGGAGCTCAGAGAGATTATGTGTCTTCCCTGAGGTCACAGAGTAAGTGAAAAGTCGAGTCTTCTGCAGTTGCGTCCAAGTTTCTAGCCACTAGACAGCACTACCTAACATAGAGAAGGAGTCAAAACGTCAAGCAAAAGACACGATTATTAGAAGCAAATTTATAGTATTATCACTATACAATGATCAATGTAAGATGAGCTCTGCCCCAACTCATAGGACAGAAATACGTTACCTAGGTATGGTAGAGAGAATAGACGGTACTAAATTAGCAGGAAAGTCAAGTGACAAGATCCCTGGGGACATGTAGATCCTGTCTGGAACCACTGCTATTTTGTAAATGCTTTTTTGTCCTAAAGTATGGTGAATTTTATCAGAGAAGTAAGCTATCATGCTTTGAGAATTTTTGCAACACTGGACCAAGAAACCTCTGTGAAAACAACAAAACAAGCCTGGGAGGTACTCTACCAAATCAAGAAGGCTGGAAATCACTGCCCGAAACAAAATGAATGGGGCAGAGTATAATATGCAAACATTTTTATAAGGTAAAATAATGATTAGAAAATCAATATATCAAGGACAAAAGATAATTACAAAAAGCTACAAAGAGTTGAAAAAAGAAAAAAATGACAACAACAAAGGCAACTATTTGGCCAAAACCACAAGAAAAACGGCAATTTTGTGTGGCTCAAAACCTCTTTAGAGGTAAAGAGCCTTAGAAAAGAAGAATCACTGAGTGGCTACCAGAGCAAAAAAAAAAAAATTTTTTTAAATGTACTGGTAAGAAGTAACAGGTAATGTGAAGACCTTTCCCCATTTCTCCAACTGTACCTGAGTCAGTCTACCCCTTTTTCTAGACCCTTCCTCTCCTCTACCTCCATTCCAGTATCTTTGACTGCATTATGGTCACTCTATATTGCAGTCTGAGAGAAAAACAGGCAGACTTTCTTCAGAACCAATGATGTGAACCAATTTCAATGTTTCCAACTGCAGCAAAAAACAAAAATACTTTTTCAAGTTGGAGAAATGATTCTTCTATCCTTAGCAGTAGTTTTGAAAGATTTACATAGTTGAAGTACTTTTTAATGAGTGAAAAAAGAAAATTTTAGCCAAGATGATGCCCTCTGCAATAAAGACCACTGTTGAAAGGATTAGGCAAACTTTAATAGGAGAAATGACAACTAATCATTTTGTCTCAGATCACCTGCCCTGTGGTCCCATTATATTCACACTGATTGGTATTTATCTCTAATTCTACTGCCAAACTATCCAATCCCCCCCCCCAAAAAAAATCCAACAGATAATTCTTATAATAGGGTTTTGGTTTTTTATTAAGTAAATACCTATTAATGCTGTATAAACCAAATTCTGTTCTTGAGCCAACACCCTTAATCACATGGTTTGTTAAAGAGTTTTGTAGAGGCATGAATGACCCAAGGATGTTTATAAAAATTAAATCCTGGGTTACACAATAGCCAATAGTCTTCAAAAGTACTACATCCAACCTAATGATGGTATGTATAATAGTCATACCAAGAGAAGAGGTGGATTTGTTAATATTTGGAGCAAAATTCAAATAGCATTTTCCTATCATCTAGTGACATTAAGAGCTACAGTTATTGTAGTTAATTTTAAGCAAGTTGACAACTTCCATAGTTTTCCACATAACATTTATACTTTTTTTTTTAGACAGATTTTTTGCTATAGGGCATGCGTGCTCGCCAGAGAGAGACAGAAAAAAAAGAAAGCGAGAAGTCATCTCCTGGGGGGATGGTCATGCCACAGTCTCTTCCCTTCCTTTCTCCTCTCAGGATATTGGGCATACATGCACATGTGCCCGGTGTGAGTTTTAAACCTCCAGGTTTGGGACTTGAACTGTGGTCATCCATGTGGAAGTCCATTAACATAACTATTATGCCATCTGCTGGTCCCAACATTATTTCTTGAATATGTGAGAGAGAGAGAAAGAGAAAGAGACAAGCATTCCTCACAGGATCTTCATGCCTCTATCCACAGACAGTGTTGATAAAGCCCAGGTGGACAGGGAAGTTTTGGGAGGTGAACCTTGACCTTTCCCAGGGGGTGAGCTATGCTATCACTATGTATGCCACTGCCTAGCTCCCATTTTCTTTTCTTTTTTTTAAGAATTATTTTATTTAACTTTATTTATATTTGACCAGAGTGAGAGAGAGACAGAAAGCAAGAAAACAGCCACCAGGTCTGGGACTTGAACTGCAGTCAGTCATGTGGGAGTCCAGCGCCCTTAACTACCAAGGCACCTGCCAACCCCATTTTCACCTTTATAGATGTAAATGCTGATTTATAAATTCAAGCATGCTATTTAACTTAAGATCAAATACACTTGACTAATGCACATGTTACTTAGTTCTGATCATGTCACTTACGGAGGAAAAATGAGAAATACGGAAATCTCACTGATGAAATCCTCATATAAATGATCTTCCTTTTATAAAAGGGACATAGTGTCTGCCTGGCCTTAAAAATAATGTTAAAGCTGATTTCCATGCTAGACTTCCAGAAAAAGGTGAATGAAACAGCTGTTCTTCTTTACTTTTCTATCTAGCATACCTATTCTAATCAGGATCAGCTGGGTCTAAGGAGTTACTGCAAAATTCATGATGTATTTCTCGGTTTTTCTATGCAAACAAATGCGTCATGACTTTTCTGACAACCCTATTACTATCATCATCCTTCAGCTATGATGACAAAATGAACATGAATGAAAACATCGCTCCATCCGACAAGAGACAGCTTCTGCTTTTGTGGATGGACCCTAATGGAGTAGAATAACATCTACTGCCTTGTAAATCTCTAATTTCTGATAGCAGAGAGTGATCTCATTTAGAAATAGGCTTGGACATGAATGGCTTATCAATGCAATGTCCCCTTCATGAAGTCCAGCTGCTTCCAAGAAGTCTCTTTTGTTACATGACCCATCTGTGAGGCTTCTTGCCACTTTCAACCAGTATTGTCACAAGTACTAGTCATCCTTCACATTAGGAGAAAACTCCCTGTTAGGCCATTTTCCATTTCTTTATATCAGAGCATAGATTTCCATCTGAAATATACTACCTCTGTAAGGCTAGGCACAAAAAAAAAAAAAAAAAAAAAAAAAAAAA